CGGTGGTGGTGAAGGAGGTGGCGGTGGTGGTGGGGGTAGTATGTGGTGAAGGTGACTTGGGTCTCGCCAACATCAGCAGATCTCACCCTTGTTGTTGACGCAGGAAGCTAGACGAATGGGTCCAGCCGTCCTAATGGGCCCCAGAACTATTGAGGCCCTAGGGACCTAGATCAACCAAACCATCATGATTGGGCCCCAACCTTGAAGCACCCTGAATAAGACCCCAAATAAAGGTGATGAAGTTAGATTAGAAAGGTTGGAGCCTATTGGGATTGGAGCCTATTAGAACTGAGGCATGTTAGAACTTGGGCCTATTGGGACTGGAGCCTATTAGGATTGGGGCCTAGTGGGACTGGAGCCTATTAGGATTGGGGCCTAGTGCGACTGGAGCCTATTAGAATTGGGGCCTATTATTGGGCCTATTGGCCTAGGCCGACTGGGGCCTATTATTGACTGGAGCCTATTAGGATTGGGGCCTATTGGACTGGAGCCTATTAGATTTGGGGCCTATTGGGACTGGAGCCTATTAGGATTAGGGCCGATTGGGACTGGAGCCTATTAGGAATGGGGGCCTATTGGGACTGGAGCCTATTAACACTGGGACTTATTTGAGCTGCATGTATATAGAAGGAAACTAGAAATAATTCGTCAGACTTGTTGTGGCTGTGATAGGAGAAGGAAGGGTGAATTTTCCCTTTCCTTAACCAAGTGAGCGGTGCTTAATAACCCCAACAGACCAGAAGAGATCACCTGAAGATTACGACACCCTAACTTATTTCACCACGAGATTAACCACCTTAATGCTGGTACTTGTGGATTAACATAAGTTTGGTTAGCGTCAGGTAAGGTTAGGTTAGGTAATGGTCAGGTGATCTAGAAAACCAACGATGAGAAGAAAAAAATCTAAGCTATGAATATAAAACACTTGTCTGGGTATGTTGACATCAACACCTGTAGGTGAGTTACGTTTTCCACAGGTGTTAGGTAATGAGTGAACACCTGTCGCTAGCTTAAATTAAACCTGCACGAACAGAGAGAGGTGAAGAATTTTATGTCTGTTTGGTGAGAATTATAAAAATTAGAGAAAATTGCATTTAACCCTATTACTATTAATAATAGTAAGTGGTGGAAGAGCCAACACATACCACCTCCCTCAGTGAACATGAGCTGATGCCTTAGCTAAACTCGAGCCAAACAAAGACTGTCTGTCTGTCAAAAGAAACCATTAAAACTGTAACCAGGAAGGAACTTGTTGATGAAGTTGAAACAAGCAGACAAGTGTAAACAGGAAACAGTCAATCCATTGTTTACCATGATGAGATATATCAAGTGAAACATGTATATGGAGCAAGTTACAAGATCGCTAGATTACAAGATGTAGTAACGGCTAGACTAATGTTATAAGTACTTCTGGCAGTATATCCCTCAAGCAGATGTGAACAAAACTAAATTTAAAGTGTGTGAATATAAGACGTTTTAGGAACAGTTTTAAGCACACAAGACTGTATCCACTTTATGCGCCTAGTAAATAAGTCAATTCCTATTTACAGAACTAAACAATGTGCTTCAATGTCTACAATCATACAGATGTGAATAACGTTAAAAATATACCGAGCAGCTAAACATACGGCCTCCGTGTACTGGTAACATCCTACGCCACAACATCCTGACCACTGGGAGATGATAAACACCCTATGTAATGTGACCTCTACTCTGTAATCCTTTTTGCGCGACCGTTCATAGGCTGAGTATGAGGTGCACAATAAAGTAGCCAGTCTGTGACAAAATTAAATAATGTAAAAAAGACTCGAGTTCCTCGTTCGATATATAGTATTTATATGTACTCTAATATGTTTACACCTGTATAAAATGTCGCTAATATGCAAATTAAGTGAGACAACGTTTCCTGTAATGTGAGGTGTTTGTAGACGCAGATTATATAATGAGTCGTTTGGTGAGTAATGGCAGTAGTTATGGACTGAATAATAATGACAATAAAGTATTATTGATAGGTAAATGAAGGTAATGATCCGTACTGAATCGATAAGGTAATTTACATCACCTGAAGATTAAACACCCCAGCTTATTTCACGTGAAGATTAACCACCCAAACATTAATCTAACCTAACCTAACTTAACGTAATATAACCTAACCTAACTTAACGTAATATAACCTAACCTAACTTAACGTAATATAACCTAACCTAACTTAACGTAATATAACCTAACCTAACTTAACGTAATATAACCTAACCTAACTTAACGTAATATAACCTAACCTAACTTAACGTAATATAACCTAACCTAACTTAACGTAATATAACCTAACCTAACTTAACGTAATATAACCTAACCTAACTTAACGTAATATAACCTAACCTAACTTAACCTAATATAACCTAACCTAACTTAACCTAATATAACCTAACCTAACTTAACGTAATATAACCTAACCTAACTTAACCTAATATAACCTAACCTAACTTAACCTAATATAACCTGATCTAACTTAACCTAAATTAACCTAACCTAACCCTCAGGCAGCGTCATACACTGGGGTGCCTAAACTTCAGGTGATCTGGAAACTTTGCTGCATAATAATGCGTCACAGTGTTTACAATATGATACACAGATCTTAATTGGGTGACTAATGATCCGTCACTTATCTTGGTTCGTGAGATAATGATAGCTAATATCTCTTATTGGGTAAAATATCTCACTGAAATACTAACAGGTAATAATATTAATGTTATTTATTCTGCTGTATGTAGATTAAAGCATTTTTTTTTTATAAACATCAACACCTAATCTGCACCTACAGTATATAAACACTTTTGTATATTCTGTTCTATAGACATTGAATGAAAACTAATAATATAAATAATTCATATTAGATAAAAACGATAAACGGTGATTCATATTCCTCCTCACCATCATCATTATCATTATTTACCCCCATTACGCTTTATAATAACCGTATACCCTCCAGATGCATATTATGGACATCTTTACCACAAATTCGTTATATCACCAACTAGACGCTCTATACAACACTAAGAAATATACATTAAGCTTTCAATTTTGTTTTATTTACACAATATTAAATAAAAGTGTCCGCATATCCGGCTCTAAAGGGATTTTTTCTATGGGTTAATATGTAGAACTCAATGTATACAAATAAAGGAGATTCAGGAACAAGGCCAAGACACGCACGCGCGGTGAACAACAAAAGCGTCACCAGAATACCAAGCTCAGATCATTAACTCAGATTATTGTTTATTTCTGGTTAATTCGTCCCTGTTGTCATAAATTATTACACTGTACACAGGCTACACATATTCAGGTCTTTAGCAAAATTACATTGAAAGCCGGACCAGGATTGGTAGCCATAGTGAAAAAAAATCAAAATCACATTAGCCTTATCACATGACTACCATACAGATTCCGCTGAATAGTAGTAATTAAGAAATAATTACGTATATTGATTTTCGTTTATGGAAATTACATCACAATGAACTGCAAACAATAGGGAAACGACAATAATTTATTAGCAGTAAATATCTGAAGATTAGGGATAATATTGATAATACTGATAATATAAACTTTATCATAAACACTTATTTTCTTAATACTGATATTTCAACTAGTAGTAATATTCGAGCTATTACGATTACTTAACATATACAGTAATAAAGATAACTGCATTAGTGACAATGATAATTTTAACACTTATATAATGATAAAATTAATATTTAAATAGTAAACAATTGTCTTAAAAAATTCTATTAGCAACGAAAGTATAGATAAATAATATCAAGCTAAAATATTTATTTATGTTTTAGTTGAAAGAATTATTGTTGCCAGCTAATCTATATACTAAGCATACGCGTTTAAAGACATTAGTTACTGAAGAGGAGTAATATATTTTAACAAAAGCATTAATCTGGCTTCAATCGTCGTTTATCAGGCATCACTTTATTATATCATCGGTAGATAACATCATTTAAGCACAGTTAAGTATTTTCTTTCTGATAATATAGTTATTTTTATATCGTAAAATATAATAATATAAGTGATGATGAGGCACCACTGTTGTATATGTTAGTCAAATAGTTTTCTGGAAATTTGGGCGGTAAAACTTTGTTTAATATATATATATATATATATATATATATATATATATATATATATATATATATATATATATATATATATATATATATATATATGACGACTTACTGTATGTTATGAACGTTATAGTGTAAATATTATGAGCCGGTAACTGCAGGTGAGAATGTTCTACAACTCAAACATCAAAAAATAATAATTTGCTTATAATATGACGACTTCGATGTATATTATGAACGCTATAGTGTAAATATTATGAGCCGGTAACTGCAGGTGAGAATGTTCTACAACTCAAACATCAAAAAATAATAATTTGCTTTAATTACATTTTCGATACATCAAATGAAAACATTAGTGTGGTGTAACTCATAACAGAGGCGGTCAGTCCTAGGTACAGAATATAGTTGTACAAAACGACACTATTATTTGGATTTCAATCTTACGCCTGATTAATTTAACTGGCCAGTGATGAAATGCCGATGTTTAGTGGATCATACGAAGGCTTATACTTTCATTAACTAATTAATTGCCTAGTTAAAAATTCATTACCACAAATAAAATAATTATATTAATCTAATCTGCCAAGTGGTCCTAATATATTAGAAAATGAAAGTTGAGGGTGTTGACATGAGTGAAGTGTGCAGAGCGACTGTTGCATGACAGGTCCTGCCAGCCGCCATAGAATATTCTAGTACTACTAAACATCCTCTATAAATATTAGTCATGGAAACATCTTCATAACCATCATAACATCGGGGTTCGATTAGCTAGAATTAAAGTGCATTACTGAAGATGGAGAAATGGTGCTTAGAAGTGGTGCATGCTGTAACGAGGGGTGCAGTGATCTAACCACCAGCGCTTGTTTCACAGACCTGAGTCGAAGTCAGCCATGGGAATGTTTGTGTGGAGGAGCCAACTGTTCCGTCACCACGGCCGCGTGCACTTGTCCACCAAACCCTCACCACCTACTATATGAATGACACGCACTCATGCTGCCCACTGGATTCCTTTAGTGTCCACATAGGCTCAATTACACTAAAATATCACCAAATTCGTGTAGAAAGCCGGACGATACACCCATGAGGCAATCAATCCTAGCCCCTGTAATTATTGAATTTCGCGCCTTCCCGAGCCACTGTCATGGGCCGCACAACCGCCACCACTCTGCGCTTCTATAACGAGTGCCATGTCCAGAGAATTTTGTTTCCTTTCAACATGTTAAGTTTTAAATTCAGTAAATCGTGTTATGGACATCTTTAAGATCATTAATTATCCCGATGCGAGTGGAAGGGTTTCATGAGGTATGACGGGAAGGCGGCGTAGGGATACAGAGTGGTTGGAGCCCGGAGGCCGCCAGTTGGCCATTAGCTGTCACTTTAGTTGGCGCGCGGTCTGAGTGCAGCATTGCTCGTCACTACGGGCTTGGCTGTTTTTCCTGAGTTTCATTAAGTTATTTTTTTTCTAGGGAAACTCCACCTGAAGATACTCTAGCATCCAGCTATTGGTAAGTAGAATGTTAAGGAGTGTTGTACGTTAGAAGGAGCCACGGGATGGTCATATCGATCTCTGGCCTTGCGCGCCATGCCTATCATTGCCGCCGCCCCACTCCCATGTGTTGGCTTTCCCGCCATCCACACGCCCACCTACCACGTGCAGCACACGTGTTCATTCACATAATTTTAATTTAATATGTACTGTACCTTTGAGTAAAGCAGTAGAATAAAAATAAAGCCAGTAAATGAAGCGTTAAGGTTGGCGGGAAAGTGTGGGGGCAGCGCGCGGGGGTCGGGGGAGGAGGGTGCCAGGTTGCCTAAGGTTACATTCACCACCACCCCAGCCTAGCGTTCCAGCAGATGACAGATCCAGTGTTCTTGTGGTCATTACCTCCATAAAATATGTGTCGGTAATATTAACGTGCACAGAAAGTGAGACGTTTTACGTTGTGTAACGCACAAGAATGTGTACCACCTGTTCGTCTGGCCGGGCTGAGTCGTGGGGCTGGTGTTTTTGCTCGTGGGTGAGGTTTTTGGAACTTTCTGAAGGTATTTTGGACTACTAGGTGTTAATAGGCGTAAAATCCACATGTTCTGACCAAACTAACAGCCGGGAGGGAGGGGAAGACCCAGAATGGTTAAATAACAACCCGACTTTCCTCATCCCCCCTCCCACGATGCCACATTTCAACAAATATACTCCATTAATTCCGTATCAGACGAGACATGTATGTTTCCGTCAACGTAGCAGACTCGTATGTAGTTGAAGTGTGGAGCCTTTTACTCATTACTATTTGTGAAGGAAAATAAACAACCATTAGTGTCGTGTTTGGAATATTCCTTGATTAGGTGTGTTGGTAATTGCTTGTTTGGCCTTTAAAACAAGACCTTATTAGAGATACGTAATTCCACTCCTGTTATTTTTGTTGTCATGTCGAGTTTGAGTGTTCATTGTAAGTTGGAACAAATATATTGCAGTGCGAATGACAAGATTAATTATGAGTGATGGTGTTTCTGTGTCTGTAGTAAGATTAGTTCAATGTTTTTACTGAATGATTACTGTGTGTGTTTTAGTGAGGCGTGAGTAATGTTACTACTGTTGGTGTCTTCCCAGTAAGGTGTAAAGGTGTGTGATTTTTTAGAATGTGATTTATTGTAAAGCTTGGCAGATTATATGATTAAAAGAGTCGTTTTTCAGATAGTTTTTATGGTTTAATATAGGGTTTTAACAGTAAGGTTTAGGTAGTTTAAGGTAAAGTTTGGCTGTATTTTTATAATTTTTTGTTAGTACAATATTTATGGTTTTATTTTTCATGGTAAGGTTAGGAGGTAAGTACTATGGTTAAAGATGTTTATGGTTAATTCTTTGGTTAAAATGCTTATTGATAAAGTAATAGAGAGGTTGCTTTGATTGGGAGATTGCAACAGTTTAGGTTAATTCTCGGGCTGCACTTCATTACTAAAGTTTCTAAACTCTTGTGGTTTTAATGACAGCTTCTTAATCATAGTTTATTGTCCATTTAGAGGAGACTGGTTACTTCCATGTTGTGTCCACTCAGGCCACTGGTGTTAAGTCCATTTATCAAGGTTGGCAAGCATTTACCCTGAAAAATGAATAGTTCAAAGAAGGATGGCGATAAAGAACAGGTTATGTAAGGATTTAGTGTTAAGAATCAACTCTGAACCTACTTAACCCATCCTAATGATGCAAATGCTGAAAATCGGCCCAAAGTTACTTAATCAAACTAGACTTAACGTGGCTTATACAAAAGACACACTTTTATCACTAAGGTGCATTTTGTATACATTTCCCACGTAATTTAGATAATAATTCAAGTAGCATTAAGTTTGAGATGAAACGAGGATAGATTGTTTACATGTTAAATTTAATCCATAAAACTTTACTTAACCTTCTCAAGTCTAATGGAGCCAGCCCTCTTGCCCTTTCCTTCTTGGGAACTTGTGCCAACGTTGTCGGTTGGATAAAACCAAAGGCTGGAGTTAAAGTGTAAAGGCAGTTACCCTTTCTGATAGAGTACAGTATACTGAACTAACTTATAATACTGGAAAAAAATGGTGAAAAATTTCAAATAAGTCTAGTCCTGAAGTAGTGTCCTTAAACCATACTCTTTATTTCTGATGAAGTTGAGTCTGAGACTTTGAAGCCATTAATCATTAGATTGAAGTTGTGTTTATGATACAGTAGTACTTTTGAGGTAGGCATAGTTGTATGTATTTAGGTGTAGGTTTTTATTTATTTTATAATAGAATGGTTGAGGTGCAGTACTTAGAGGTGAGATTTTTGTCTTGAGGATCAGGGTATTTTTTTAAGGTTAAGGCAGTTTTATTTTCCTACCGTTTAGTGTGAGGGTGAAGTAGTTTTGTTAGGATTTGTCAGTTTCATCAATAAGACAATAAGGATGCAGCAGGTTTTCCTTCTAATATTTAATTGTTTTTATATGGTAAGGTTCTGATAATTATTCAGTGTAGAGTTTAGTTTTCAAGTTCATGCATAATTTGTAAGGTTGAATTATTAATTGTGAAGTCTGTTATGTCCTGGTTTCACGATTCCCCACAAGTTTTAAGGCTTTGCTTTTAAATTTGAAATATAACTAATTTTCTTCTGCTGAAGTTATATAAATTCAAGTAGCTATTGTACCGTAATGCCATTTCTCGTGAGGCTAGGGATATACCACCCTTTGTAATATAATTTTGTGCTATTACATGTGAGGTTAGACCTGTGCCATGCCCTATCAAGTTGCTAAGAAGAAAGATATTGCATGGAAGAGTCACCATCCTCTTAAATATAGGTATTTCTTCTCCCTTACAAAAATTGGTTATGGGATTTTTTATTGCTAGATGTTGATATCCATTATGAGGTCATTTTAACTCTTCTTACGTCAAGTTTGATGATAGAATCCATCTGTTAGTTTTTAGTTATCCTTTTTAATTTTAAAGACATAATAGGTTATAATGTTAGTAGTACTGTATTAACGTCCACAGTAAGCTACAGTGGTAGTATTCCTGCCTATTGTAAGCTGTAGGGCTAGTTTTCATATCCGTAGTAGCCTGTAATGGTAGTATGATTAAGCCTATATTGATGGTTTACACGACCATAGTAGACTATAGTGGTATAGTATTCATGTCTAAAATAAACTAGTGTTAGTTGTCACGTTTACTGGTATCGTCTTCAAAGGGCCAAGTATTTCTTCTTCGAACGGCTGAAATTATTACACATTGTTAGGGTGTAATAATCGTTTCGTATTGTTACAGTGTACTGTACTGTATTGTGTATTTTATAAATGAATATGACGTTACGACTTATGTACTATGTGCTTTATCCAAATCATTTAATTGTTAGGCTGTAGCTTCTCCATTACTTGTATTATTGTAGAAGTGATTAGTGCTCTTGAGAATACAGTACTGATCTTTGGAACATAATATTGTATTGAGAATACTCGTTTGGAAGTTTATCAAGCGTTTGATAATGGTCGTTTCTGGGTTAACAAGCATTAATCTTAATTGGGTGATGACATGCTATAATGTAGCTCATTAGTATGACAGCAGTAAATGACAAGATGAGTTTATTGACAAGAACATCAATAACTAATGTGCAGTATTTCTAATTTATCAAACCTAATAATTTTTCTGCTTGAATCATTAACTTTATTCTGGAGTAACTCGCATCTTATAGCTTACTACACTACTGTACTTGTGGAATTTACCCATTTTTTCCACTTAATCCTTAGATCGCTCTAATATTGCCATAATATTTAGGTTATCAGATTTTTCATCTATGTAATTGATATCGAATGACAAAACTGAAGAAATTTTTTAGGAATTTCATTACTTTTTTTTGTAAAATGCTACAGGGAAACCTGCAGTGTTTTGAAACCATTTAGTCTTGAGAAATTTGACTTAGTCTGGTACTGCAGATTTAAGTGTTATTTGTATGGTTGTAATTACTAATGCAGGTAATTACTTGGCAAGTTGAGTTACACTGCTGATCAACTGATGCGTAGAAAGAGGGGGAATTGTACTGCATGTTAAAAATTTAATTTTAATAATGTAAAGATGCAGTAAAAATAATACTTGAAGGGTTTTATGAATTAAAAGTGTTAGTAAAGCATCACAGAAAAAAAAATGAAAAGGTATCAAGTTAAAATTCATCTTTCCTGGTTGTTTCAAATAATCATTTAAGTTTTATTGACAAACTAAATGAACGTTGTACACTACTATTTTCTATGAATACATGTGAACATTAGTGCTAGTACTTCATTGACTCGTAGTAGGAGTAAGGTAAATTGTATTTCAGTTGCCAGGACTAAGCCATTGTTATCATTTCAGATAGCGGTAAGCCTCAGCTGCACGCTAGACCTAAGTGAAGCGCCAGGATTCTGGAGTCCGATTATTTGGGTATGTTCACTTTTATTTTTCATAATTAGGCACGCCTCTGTTTTATATGTGGGTATTTTGACATGTCACACGTCATTGTATGACAGTTGATTTGTGTTGTTTAGACTTTCCTTCCGGCTAACCATAGTTTTCCGTTAATTAATTACTAAAACTTAAAATTAACTTGAACTTCGATTTAGGTGATCAAGTGGACCTTCAGACAAAAATACTGAAACTTTGATTAAATTGTTTTACCTGTATACAAGTATTTGGTCCTAAATGCCAAGTATTTTGTATTCTCAAAAATCTTGAACATTGTGTTTTTAATAATTTTAGTCCAGAAATAAAATGGTAGGAGCTAACAATTTTATTTACTAATACAGTATCGGTCATTCTTTCCCAAGTGACTAAGGTAGCATTTTTGAGAGTTAGTATTGATTTATAATACAGTACTGTACAGTACAGTACACCCTAGTGCACGTGGGGTAGGGAATAAGTTATAAACTGCATAGAGAAAATCTGGCACTATACAATGACTTGCAGTTGAAGAAAGTGTAATTTTCATTAAATTCCCTTAACCTCCAGAGGTAAGTCAATTGCTAGAACAACAGAAATATAAATCGATTAATTATGAAAGGGCACCACTCGGCGGTGCGGTGTAAGTTACTGTGCAGTAATACAGGGTCAAAGCCAGAGGTTCAACAATAGTTGAGATAATATATATATATATATATATTATATATATATATATATTATATATATATATATATTATATATATATATATATTATATATATATATATATTTATATATATATATGTATATATATATATATATATATATATATATATATATATATATATATATATATATATATATATATGTGTGTGTGTGTATAATTAATTTTTTCAATTGGCTCTCAATATTGTAGTTGTGCTATGTTTTACCGTCGCAATAATGGTGCCACCTGGTGTAAAATGTTATGATGCAAATTAAAGGGAAAGTTGGATATGTATTTCTTCTCGGGTTTTGAAAACGGAATTGTCTTAGTTTACTTATGGTTCACAATTAGTTGGTACACCTGTAGTGTAAAATATCTGTACCGCTTGAGTGTTGTCTTGTAGGTGTGATAGTTTATTGATGTAACAACTGTACCGGAGGTACTTTATTATACTGTACGTGCAGTTTTATATATAGTTATGTTAAAAAAAAATTTACCAGGATTACTAAATATCTCTGAATCTTGGCTTTAACGGTGTATAAAGTGTGACTGTATTCTGCAGTACGTTATATTTAGGCTAAAAGAGGCACAATTTATCATTAAAAACAAATTAGTTTTCGTATGTCTTAATTCATGCTGAATTTGGTTCCACATGAAGCCATCACTCTTCAGGCATTGTGTTGCCTTAGATCAGACATTCGTATTTCATTAACTTTATAGTTTATTAGACATACATATACAGTACAGTACTTATGATTATTGTACAGTATACCAGTACTGTATAGGGGTTTCCGTAATTTTAATCTGAATGTTTTCATAAGTTCAGTACGGACATTGATTACTACAAGATTATTGTTTAGAATATATAATGTTTTATATTGTATAGAGACTAGTCTGATTTTCAGGTCCAAGTTTTCTGTAACTTTAAATAAAAACCTTGTTCTAAGTCCAGTTCAAAATATGTCGCATCCTGTAGTCGCAGTCATGTTCTCAAATACAGCAGGCAATAGTTAACTTGTTTTTGGCCCCCACATATTAACGAGGTGTATCTTTTAAACTAATTTTGTGGTTATAATCACACTTGCAACAGCTGTATCGGCTGTGGTGCCAGATTGGCGAAATTTTATATCGCATTAAGATTAAAGCTTTGAAGAATTCTTTAGGATCCTATAAATTTTAATTACTGTATAAATATACTACATCCAGCGTAGGATACTTGTAGAGGAGATGAATTTATTACCACAAATATATCGCCGTAAATTAGTTGGTGCCTGAAATACAACAATGTCTACCCTGTTATAAAAGATCGAGAATTTAAAATAAAATATTCATACAAAGATTCGTAGCAGGTGAAACTTTTTATGACCTTTGATAACAACGTAGCTGATAATCATGTCATCTGCTTATCAAGTGTTTTGAATATAAAGGTGTTGTGAAGGCTAAATTGTCAGGCATAGCAACGGTGGATTATTCTGTTGCCTTTTGCAGTATGTTATGCACGCTTGTTATTAACAAAAGTCAAAATTGTTGTGGTAGTTTCGTGTGTAAATTTCACTTGAAAATATCAACACTATTGTGGGAACATTTAAATAGTATATTTTTCTAAACTTTCAAAAAAAATGACAGCATCTATTTAAGGTGTTACACACAAGAGCAAAACAAAATCAAAAGTAGAAAGAGAAATGCGCTGCCTACCTCACCCAAATGACATCGCCGCACACTTGCTCACCAATTTCAAGAGCAGCCCAGGAAACAGACGCTTGATTGGTGATGCCTCGCCACCTGCGTTCTCGGAACCTTTGTCTTGAAGTGATGAAATAAATGGCTTTAGTTTCTCGGCAGCCCTGTGGTAATTGTTGCTATGATGAGTTAGGACAGTTGTATGTTCAAGTTGTTGGCGATGAGAAGCCTTTCACAAGTGACAATATTGAGTCTTTACCAAACATCTCTGTAGTGTTGTTGTTGCTATATGGTTGTAACTTGACCCGTTGCCCATGGCTTATCGTATAGCAGAGGACTGTACTCACTCTCACGAAACATTGCGGAGTTGATGATGGAACTTAAACACACTGGTCAATTTAGAGAAGTGCCGATTCCAAAATTGTGGCCGATACGGATACTCATCCTAAAGCCGATACCGATACTTTCTAGTAAGCTATCTACAGGTATCTATGGATATGTTAGTCTACTAAATTGCTGCAATTTACCGTATTGATTATTTGCAAAGTAGGCTATAAATTATCAAAATTGATTGGTAAATAAATATTTGTAAATATTAGCTACCGATACTTTGGCACATTTCTACTGGTGATAAATATTGTCAAACAACACCGTAGTTTCCAGGCCAAGTAGATTGTATTGAATGTGGGAATTCAAGCAGTTAATTTGCCTTTCTTGAGACGGCTGTTTTACATCAGTTTGATAACGAGTGCACATACATCTGTAAACTGTCACCAGCAAATACGTGTTGGTCTGTGTTTTCGGCATTTGGATGCTTGTTACACTCACATCTCTAATGCTCATGTAATTTCTAGCTGGCTCTAATGTGGCATGCATGTTAACGTGCAGTTTATTGATGGCTGGCGTATAAAGGATAACTGGGTTAATATACTGATGCCACTGTAGTAATGAGGGCACATCGCTTGCTTGTAAATACAATAGGACCATGCTAACGTCTCTAAACCAGCAGAATTTGAGTGTGTTGATATTCACAAAGGTGTGTGTGTGATCCCAGAGCCTCGCAAACTTTTAAACATCGTTCAGAGACATTTAAAAAAAGTTTGATTTTTGTAATGAATGTTTCAATACAAGAGAGATCACGAAAATATTTTTACTTAAGAAGTAAATTTAAACTGTTTACCTGAATACAGTATATTACTAAATAAAAAAATACTTTAGACAGTATAGTTACCATTGTTACGTTATCAACGATGTTTCTTTTTCACCATTCACAGTTCAACATCACTCCCACCCTGGTAACAACTATGAGTGCACTATTTTTATTCTTTCAAACTCGTTGTACTTAACAAAAAATGTGTACTCTTAACTATCAACATGCATTGGATATCTGAATATTTTTCTCAGACATTCCGGACTGGTTAAAATGCTCTTCCTAAAGGATTAATAAAGTACAGTACAAGTAATTGTTGGTAAATTTAGGCAGTTTTACAATGGCATTAATCTACCAAAGGGAATGTTTTCCAATCTACTGTACTGTAATAAATTTAAGTAGCAATTCACCTTAAGTGTTAAAACTTAAATTGTGACAGTAAAGAAAATCGAGCATATAATTTGTTCCTACCTGGGTTGGCTTGGCAGTACAGTATACGCAAATTACCCCTTATAAGTGTGTCGAGGAGGAAGGGGTCTTCAATTACGTGTCTCAGTGTTGTGGGTGTGAGTTTTGAATGCTAGATCACACTGGGGGCTCACGGGACTAGAGCGTTTTCACGGATTTCTGTTTGATGTTGGATGTGTTACTGATGTTGAATTTCATTGGTTCGATGGCGGCTGCTTCTGATCTCATCCTTGTTTGATCTTTCAACGAGTTGTCAAATATGCGTAGCCTACACACGTACTCACACATGCCCGCGCAATTTCAACTTACTGTGGATTTCTGGTGTAATACAAATAACCTTTGGGGTATTTTTGTGTGGGTAAACGTCTTTCCCTTACGTTGTCCCCGTCTCAAGGTCTCACAATGTAACTCACGAAGACCGATCTAAGTATAAATGTATAATCAAGAACAGACTCACGTTAGCTGTAATGAAAGAACTCAATGTAAGTTCTCTATTTACAAATACTAAATACTTTTTATACTGTATTTTTATTTTAACTTGGGTCAAAGGATACCCATCTAATTTTGGTGAAAGTTGGTCAAAGTTGGTCAAAGTTCAGCATTGGGGGGCCGACTTTGTGCTCTCGGCGTCTAAGTCTTGATGCCCTCGTTTTATATGGGGGAAGGTCCTTTCTGCGTCCGCTCTTATGTCTGAACAAAATATCGTTTCCGCTCGGTACCTTCAGAATGGCTTCGTGAATCTTCATGACGTTTGATAAGGAGTTCAACAATTAACTCTTTTCAGTTAAATTTACCAGAGTTATGGCTCTAAGTAACAAATTTTAGTTATGGTGACAACTATGTCACCTTGAATGGTAGTCTAGTTAAATAGTGTAATAGTCCAGTTTATGTCGTGTTAGAGTAACTATGCAATGTATGACTATTGTATAGTCTATGAAAT